ACTCATCGCCAGTACTCCATACTGTCTGTTCGAAATTAGTTCTTTGTTAAACCAACATAAAACTTCTCCGTAAAAAATCGAGTGATTCTGTCTTACGCCTCTAATAACTTTTCCATTGATGAACTTCGACCCAAGCAAGATTTTCAGCATGATTCACTCGGGAATTGCCTTAAAAATTCCTGACAAGTTGTGAAGTTTCTTTAACAATTCTTTATGTTTCAGACGTTTAACGAATTAGTTCACTAACATGACGTGTTCAATTAATTAGAATCTAGTTTAGAGTGAAACGTAAGAACAGAAGCGTTTTTCGGAATATACATTATAAAGGAAAAATGAAGGAGAATATAAGTTACTTGAACTTTAACGGACAATAAAACATAAGTTTTTTGAGATAAACAAAAATAGTCATCCGTAAGTTATCTGTTAAATAATATTTATCGGAATTTTTAATCTTACGCATATCTATACCTAAGTTACAAGATAAATTAAATAAAATGAAGTTTTATATTTTGCAGATCTTTTGACATCTTGGTAAAACATCCCACTTGATCTAGAGATTAGGAAAATCACGTAAAAGTTCTTTATGTATTTCCCTTTTCGAGATTTGATCTGAAAAAGTTTTAAATACAAGTTTATAAAAAAGTATATATACAAGAGGGTCAAAAAATAATTCCAGCATTTTTTTTATTGACAAAGTCAAAAACGTTTTATCTATTTTTTCTTCTGATTCTAAATATGGAAGAATCAGATCCTCATGCAGAATTTAGTTTCACAGAAAGTGGTGGGTGAGTTTTATAAATTGTAAAAAACTTTAATAAAAGTGTATTTTTTTAAACTTTATAAAGTACTATTACCTTAAGCTCATTCCATCATAATATCAGTTTGCGACATAAATATTTTGTTTCACCTTAATAACATGGTGAATACATTTTTACCAGTCTTTCTTGCCGCCTTATCTTTTATTTTACACCTATATTGATTGGGTTTAATTCGTAATGATAAGGTGCCAACCGTTCGATATATCTACCTATCTTTTGGCCATTTCAGTAAGATAAAGGTTTTTTTATTGGACGATTTAACTAATACCTCTTTAACCATATCTTCCTGGTGTTAAACTCTTTGTATATGAACCATTCTTGAATATTACCGTTTTTCGTAGCTGAGTCAGTAAATTAAGTATAAGGTGTGTTGCACCATACGAATCAAAAGTTGTATGTTTGCCCTTACAAATACATAGTTGAGTAACAAGGCGGACGGATTAGCGTGGAAACCAATAAATCTAGATGCTTAAAAAGGTTTCTAAGAATGATATCAGCATTCCTTATCAAGCATTTCGGTTTAGTAATTAATGATGTTGATGTTTTTTTAGTATATGTCTGTAGGTAATTCGAGCACAAACAATATTGTATATTTTAGTCAAATTTAGCCCTAGTTTTTTCTGCTATAGCCTATGACTATAGCGTAGGAGTGTCTATTGAGGTGTCACTGCTTTGTAATATTCTCAAATGCGCCTATTGGTTTATTATAGTTTTGGAAATTTCGTTCTACTCTATAAAATTTTATTGACGATGACGAGACGGACAGTAGTATAATGCCAAGAAATATTTATGGCCCACATCAGTTGACCCGAATTTTTTTGAGAACATATAGCAGGTATGCAAAGTGTTTAATCACATCTCACTAACATATAGCAGATAGTTGTATCTCATAAAATAATGGTCATTTTCATTCGTGAGTAACGATGGTCCCTGTCTGGACCTGGATGATTCGGTTTTCCAACATCTGGGGATTACCGACACGCGACAACTTTAAGTTGTAAATATGTCTTGCTATTGTACTACTGCCCGTCTCGTTATTACCAAGAAAATTTTATAGTGTAGAATGAAATTTCCAAAACTATACATGCCTATGACTTGTCACTATGAAATGACGTCACTTTGAATATGCAGCTTAATATGTTGCTCTGCTTGTGGTTTAATTATTTACTTTTATATTATTTTAATATGTAAGAGTTATTGTAACAATAGTCAAATCAAAATTTATTTTTTTTTAATGAACTGTATTATCGTTAAATTTTTTTATGAGTGAAACTCACTTGATCAGCAAATGATTTTATACAACTTTATTTGTAAGTTATTAATCTTATTTCAGACAACTTAGAACCCTTTTGAAACCTCAGTAATTTATTGGTTCGGATATACATTATAACATTTAGTAATTGCTTTTATTTGAATTAGAAAATAATAGAAATGTACTGAGTAAGGTAAAAGTATGGAATCCGTCAAATATTTGACGCGCACGAGATAATGGTCTCATTGCGGAAGGAAGAACAACTGATTAAACCCTTTAGTTTAGTTTTTTTCTAATCACAAGTTTCAAAGCTTGTGCTTGTATTTAAAAATCTCTAAATACAAATATTAGGATGTACTATAAAACATCGTTTGTAGCTCTTACTCTGAAGAAATACTAGTAAGTACCCGAAATGTAGAAGCGAGTAGGGTTGTATCTAGGAATCCATAAGTGTGATAGTTTTCATAACTAACATAAATACAAAAAAAAAACATAAAACGTTGCTGAGTATTAGTTCCTTGGAGGAGTAGACTCTATTTCACAAATGTGTTAAATTTTTGTAAAAAAAAAAACTGAGAAAATGCAAATTTGGTTGCAATTTTGGAATGATTTTTATGAACTAATTTAATAAAATGTCAAACGTCCAGCGCCTACTAAGGGTTAATATTGTTACGTTGAACGGGTATTAAAATCGGCGTGTGTAAAACTCAACAATTTTATTTCTCAATAACTCGTATTTATACGACTAACTGCATAGTGATTATGTACAAAATAATTCTGGCGCAACATTCACTGAGTTCTCTCGACACTCGTTGGACTGGACTTGTTAACTGAAATCAGCTCTCGTTCTCTGGACTACACTAACTGCTTCCGACGGTGGTTCCCATTTAAACAGCCAGGCGGTCCTTGTTCAAGGTCTCCGTCACCGCTTCTAGGCTTATTCTCGAACACCCGTCGCGACATCCGCTTCCAGGCTCTTCCCTGGCCGCCGTCACGGACAATGAGTCATCGTCGCCGTATATGCTAGAACCCATTGGTGTCGTACCGGGGCGGTGTAACAATATTTTTCCAAAATAAACTACATGTATTATTATGGAGGTAGGTTTTTATTATTGTATTTTTGCTTGTATTATTATATGACTGTGAAAATAGTATACAAACTTCGGTAAAAGTACCATTCCTGTGCCTCGAGAACTAGTTCACCCCGAGGCTGCGCCTCTGGGTACACTATAGTTCTCTCGACAGGAATAATATACTTTCCGTCTCAGTTTGTACCTAATAAGTACATATACTAATACCATTCGATAGGTTTGTATAGGAATAGTTGTGTTAAATTTATCCATGCTTCCAGTTCCCCACTCCTTATTCACTAGAAATTTTGTAGTAGGTCTACTTGTTACTTTGAATTGTAACACGTTTTAATTTATGGGTAGACTTACGACTATTTGTACTACATATTGATTTACATCAACTAAAAAAAGCTAAGTAAATTTTAGCCACTTTGTAAAGCGACTCAACGCTTAAGTACCTAAGTAGTAAATGGGTCGTTTCGTTAAATTAGTTAATAAAAAATCATTAACTTATTAACTTAATTTGAGTTTTTTAGACTGTTCAGGAGCGACCATCGAGTAAAGGAGGGCTGGATAATTTGTAAAACAGAATCAAAATATTTCACCCAATAGTTTATTTGTGTTAGGAATGCACCCACCATTTTATGTGAATATTTTCGAACAATAATTCTCAAAATAATGGTCTGTCGTAATACCCAGGGATAACGCATGCACATAATTTATTCAATAGATCAATAAATTCATGTATTTATTTGCGCAATTATTCCTTACAATTAAGTATTATTCAATGTTTAATAATAGCCATGGTGGTACATAAATGTTGATTGCTTGAAATTCTTTAAACCTCATTTTATGTTGTTAATCTGACGGCAATTTGTTGGAAGGAAGGTCTCTCTAACGTGCATTATTGAATTCCACCAGCAGCGCGATAATCTCCAATCTTGTAAATCCGAAGACAAAAAGTTTAAGCATTTACGATTCGATGATTGATGAAGTTAGGCAACAATTTTTTCTTTAGATGAAGCTATTTTAATTTCAAACAGAGTTCACTGAGGCGGAATCAATTTTGGAGATTTCACTCATCAATATATAACGTCGCTTCGTTACGTTTTGCGCTCTTTCAGAAATCTCACTCTATTCAAATCCATTTTTATTTGTTGAAACCATCTTTGATATCTTTTTTATGATGAACCTGTAGCGTTTTCGGGGTATTAACCACAGTCGACGAAGTTTAAAATTATGGTGGAAAATCTGTTTACGCTCGAAAATCAAGGGAATTTTTTTTAATTTTATTTGAATAGGATTGAAAAGAAATTTTGGTAATTACCAGATTGTAAAACGCACTTTGTGTAAATATTTTCAAATTAATTTCAAATTAAATGGATGCTCAGATGAGCAAGAATATCCACGATTTATGGATCGTAAAAGTGTAACATCTTTTTAATTAATTGTTAAAAATTACTTTTTATTTTTAGTTTTTGTGGTGGTCTCTAATTAATAGTTTCTTTCCATTATGTTTGTGCTTTGACTTTTACGGTTCGCTGGGTCGAGATGAATGCGAAAAAAATACAAATTTATTAAAATTCTCATCCAATTATAATAATTAATGTGTTCCCAAAAATAACGAAAAATTAATTTACTAAACTTGCGGTTGGGCAAAACCGGTGTTGACATTTTCGTTTAAGCTGCACTATAAATTAATTAAGATTCTGAGCGTCCCCCATAAACCAAAATGTATAATGTAATCTGATTGTGAGACGCGATAACAATCTGTTCTTAATTAAATTATAAAAAACCATCTAGATGGAAAATGTCAAGACGCAAACGACTGACTTTTATCACGTTCTGTCAAAACGATAATATGCGGGAATGTTTTTACATCTTTATTTTATAATTTTAGTGATTATTTCCTTACTCAGTTTGCATCGTAAGACTGCTGTAGTTATTTGCATACCTACTCTTGATGGTAAGTGCCCACGTTTTTAATATTTTTTACAAACATACCATCAAATTGTCACCAATTTGCATAATTTTCTCAGCCGCTTAACGGACCGTTTTTTAAAATTGAAAGGCTACCCCTAAAATTTTACCTAAAATTTAATTTATTCGTGCTTAAAATCAGACGGTGCTAGTAAGAGGTTAATTTGTTTCTACTCTTGCAGTATAATTATTTCTAAATGGTTCATTATGGTTGATACACCTCTAAGACGTTCTCGCTAAATATGTGTAATATGTATAAAAACTGCATGATACATTTTTCTGCTACAAGCAGGTTTTCTCGAAAGCTTCGATTGGCTTTCTTTGCAAATTTAAAACATAAGGTATATTCACACGCTCACAAAATGTGTGTGATATGTTTCGCGCAAACGTTTGATACTGTATTCAATATACTCGATATATCGCGAAATAAGTGTTTGTAATATTGGTGAGTTGCTAAAAGAAAGCTTGAAATGTCATAAATTTAAAATGATAGTGACATTAGAATTATTCATTGTATTATTAACTTAATTTTCAAATGTTAAAATTCAGAGAAATAGTGTATTGTTTTATTAGGAGCAAAAATGAGACTTTTCATGGCGAATCTGAAAAAAATCTGAATAAAAGTAACTAGAAGAAATGTCATAATACTTTTAACGACGCGTTTTATTTTCGACAAATTGACACTAGATTTACCAGAGTATTACAAGCTGTTTACTGTTTCCTTCACTTTCATTCGGGTCACACGAATTACAATTATAATGAAGCAAGGTTTTTATTGGCATCGACTATTTAAATTTGGCGCTTGCCTTTGGCGGTTGAGGACTCCAATGTCAATAAGGGTGGTTTTGCAAAATCAGCCTCCATGTCGCATTTATATTAATCTATGGCCGCACGCGCAAGGCCGGCAATTAGAGATGAGCCACGAAAAGTAATTTTTTTCCGAATAAAACATGCTATTTTTTCATCAAACGAATGCAACACATTTCTTTTTACATAACCTCACTGCCATTACCACCGCACAACCCAACGATCAGGAACACTGTTTGAAATCAATTCTACCATACGGCGTATGTGCTTTTACCTTTACAAAATTTAAATAAAAATATACGTAAAGGAATAAGGATTTATCATACCCACACATCTATCGGAAAATAATGATTCTAGATTCATGTAATCCAAGGAAACCCGTTGCAATTTCAATTCAAGGCGTTGCCAACCTTGGAAAATAATTTGACAGCGTAACTTCACTTTTTAATAGTTGTAATAAATGGATTAAAAAGTATAATAGGCTCTATATTTACCTTAATAAACGATTCAAATACATTTCTTCATGCGTCTAATTAACATGACTGTCAGCATTTACCAGGTACGCGTGATAGTCTCGATTATTGATAGCAGAAACAAAGGCAGCAGAAAAAGTTACTTTTTCGGACGCCGTCAGAAAAAATATTTTTATAGACATGGCATTGAAATGCGTCTTTTACTATGTGTATTGTGGTATCCAAAGGTCCGTTTTTCTGACGTTTGAAGAAAAACTATATTTTTGTCGTTTTTAATAAATGAGTTTTATGATTTATGACTTTGAGGCAGTTCTGACAATAAAAGTAGGTAGTTTAGTGTCATTGAGGGCCAATGTATGAATACATAGATAATTATATATGTCTCTCGGTTACCAGTTATCCGAAGGTTAAATGGTAGAAACGCGTTTGGGAAGAAGAAGTAGCCGACAGATAACAAATAATCTATGTGCCAGATAATTTATCTATTGCTTTAATTTTTGCACCCATTATATATTTTGATTATGTATATCAAAATATAATCTTAATTGTCATTCGAAGTTAACACAGTAGGTACTTGTGCTTACGAACTCTTGAAGGAATATTATCTACATATATTTTAATATTCGTGAAAAATAATTAACCAGTTAATGATCTTCAGCATTTATTTTAAGAAGGTGCAGTTGAGACAGTCTTAATGACGTTCCTAGTCCTACTTTTGTTTTAATAAATCATCACAACAAATAAAACTTTCTTGTTGCATAAAAGCGGAGCGGTAATAGCAGTAGTCGCATACTGTGATTTCTGTCTACCAAATTCTAAATGATCTTCGATTATCTAATTCTAAAATTTGCATCACTGTTTGTTTCTTATTCTAAATATTTCATGGAAGTCCACACCGATCTACTTATATATGTGTCACGCCTGTACATGTAATCCCATAAAATAGTTATAGTAAGACCATAAAGTCTTACAGAAAATCCATTTTATTGATAAATTTTCTAAATGTAATTTTTGAGTCATAAATTTCTTAACCAACCCAAAAAAGACATGTACAAGTTTTTACGTAATTGACCAACGCTTGCTATAAAAAAATCTTATACATAATATAAAAATATTTTAACTGTAATTTGGAAAAGCCTGTCAATGAAAATACAAAAAAATTAGTAGACCGAAGTGTTGACTAAGAAATTTTTGATTTTCGAATACGTAGTTTAGGATGCAAGGAAAAATGGTTGCTCCGCCTTTCAAATTTAGTTCTTCATGTCTTTATTTAATGTATACAAATTATATTTGCATATCTTTGGTGCGGCGTCCATGATTATCGACATGGTAGGCATCTTTTAAATGCATTTAATGAGAATTTATCTTGCGGCGCAGTACAAACTTGTATAGGTGACAATCATTGTCGTTCAAACAACTTTTCACTTTGATTTGCTAAGCGAGTGTGTATAAACTTATGTCTGCCAAGCGTGCAGCCAATGAAAAGCAAGTTTCCACCAACATTCCCGGAAATTACCACTTATTATTGCTCTAATCACTACGCGATAAATAAATTAGCCGTTCTCCTGTCTTGAAAACATGCCGCCGCCCAAATGAATGTATAAGTAATCAAGCCATTACAATATTTTGTTTAATTGCGTATTTATCTAAATTTTTAATCATTTATGCGTGAGTTTTTTGTTTTTAAGGTCGATATACTAGGGACATTGGGAATTTTCGACTATCTGTCCCTTTTAAAGTGTTCAGTCATGGCGCATTTTCATCCTTCGAAATTCCTAGTTTCTACAAGCAAAATTTCTATAAGGAGAGAATGAAGAGGTCCCTGGATGATCCTGAGATGGTCCACTATGCTTTACTTTTTAAAGGGCGCAAGTATCATGCTCAGCTTTGGCCTAACCATCGTTTAATGTCCCCGGATGCCGTTTTTGAAAAGCGGAGACCTAGATCTCGGGTGCAAGACCGAAAATTGGCAAAGTTGAATCAGGAGAAAATGTGTCATTATACGGGAGAAATAAAAGGAGAGGAAGGATCCAAAGTGGCCTTATCAACATGCGATGGTTTGGTATGTTTTGATTTATCATTTGTTTCTTAGTAAAATTTAATTATGTGCTAATTACAAACGTGACGTTACATTAGTTTAAATGTTGCAATAAACGCTTAAATGTTAAAAATTATGTTATAACAACTAATAAGGTAATAGGTAGTACCCAATTATTATTATGATTACAATTAATATTATAATTACTGATTATAAATACATTTTTGTTAAAATGCGGAAGCATTACTGTATGACAATTTTGTACAAAAATTTAAACCTTAGCAAATTTAAAAAGAATTTACAAAATTATTTGCATTAAGCTACCTTCATGAAACGAGTTATTTTGCGATAAAAAAATTTTAATAATTTTTTGTATGTCAACATTTTGATAAGAATAAATTAATAAATGTATTAGTGCCACGTGTAAGATGTGCCACTAGTTCATTGTCGTCATGATGTGCAATAACTAGTTCAGAGTACATTATTAGGAGAAGGTAGAAATATGATTTTTATTTTCAGGGACACCACGCACTTCGTAATAGGCTTTGCAACTGCAATGTTGTTATGACTATTTAAGCGTCAAAACATAAAAAATGATTGATTACTGTAACGTGAAGTAGCAATAATTGTAATTTTGTTTGTAAGGAAATGTTTATTAAGTCAGTTCGCTTAGCAGGTAGGTAGTCATCGAATATATTTGATTTTTTAATTTTTACATTTTACTCAGAGTAATAACTGTTAAATTCTTCAGTAGACACATTTTTTTTTCTTCAGTATTCCATCTATGCTTCTAGAAGGATTATTTAAATCTGTATACGTGGGCATACAGTTATGTTTGTAATATTCGGGTATTTTACTAAAATAGTAAGGGGGAGATTCTGGAAACTCCGATAAGTTGCAAATCGCTATCGAAACTGCAAATACAATGCAACAACAATACATGTTGCTATGGTTTTGAATTTGCAGATCCTTGCAAGGCCCGAGTTTCGAGAATCTCCCCCTATGTTATTTAGTTGTTCACTTGCTGTCTTGTAGGGTTGTGGACAATTTTTCTCGTCTTTCTAGATTATTATTTTTCTTAAATTGTTATCGCTGCAATATGGAAAGGCTTTAAGCACCAAACTTCCTTCTATAAAATAAAACTCCCGGCATTCAGGCAAACTATAATGAGCATTGATGAGATTGTTGACAAATTGAAATGATGCATGTTCGCGATTCTAGATTGATTTGTGATCATGTTTTAATCACCTCTCATCTCCACTAGTCTCGCTTGATTACCGATCATTTATTCATGCATATTATCATCAAATAATTACTGTTAGTTATTACATTGTCTTATATGTATATTCAACTTTTTTACAGTAAACAAATTAATGGATGACGGAATTTCTGACTTGTTCCTTATGCAGGTTGTTAGGTAATGTTACCGCCATAGTCAAAGTTATGCTAAAGACAAGCACCAGAATTAATTATTTAAAAGTATTTTTGGATTCTTCTTTAACCGTTTAAAAGCTGGAAGGCATGATTTTTAACCTCGTCTGGTTCGAAAATATTTTTGACTAACGTCAAACTAAGATTTAAGGTATTATTATTATTTTATACATACAATTAGCGTAGTTAGTTCGCACATCCAAAATTCTTTCTAATACCATGAAACAAAAAATACCAGCCTTTTTTATTAATCGAAAATGCTGATATGCATTTAATTTAAGGCTAGGTTGGTAAAAATAGTCGGGCTGCGGCTCGGGGGTACAGGGAATTATTTTTGGGTAGATGAATACTGGCTACGAGTTTTTTCGCGAAAATTTACAGAATATTGTGTCATTTTGGACGTTTTGAACCTAATTGTTTGGGTACTGGATGGAATTCAGATGCGAATACTGTAAAAAGAAATGAATTGGTATTGGACATGGTAAACGAAGATCCAAATTTAAGCATTCCTGCAATTAGTCGTGGACTGCTACCTCAACGTAAACTGAATAGACCTACTACACCACGAAAACTTACATCCATATCATTACACTCGCGCCTAAGCTTTACGACCAGAGGATTATGAGCGCATAATTAACTTCAGTAGATGGCTTTTGCATAGACATGAGGAAGGTGAACATTTTATTGAAGATATCCTTTTTATTGATGAACTAAATTTTTCTCTTCGGATGGATGTTAAACACTTTTACACGTTTTGCCTTTGACCATCAGAAATGATTTACGATACATACAAGACGGTGTCCCATCACATTTCCACCATAATCTGATTAATTATTTAAATAATGAACATATTCAACAATGGATTATTATAGGAGGGCCGATGAATTGGCCACCCTGATTCACTAGATTTTTATTTCTGGGGTTATATAAAATCTTTATTATATCCAAACAATAAAAGCATCTTTATTACGGCGCCGGCGTTTACATGTCTATATTGAAGAATACGATGGTCATTTTGAACATTTATTGTAGATTTATTTTCTTTTTTTTTATTAAATTGCATTTTTCTTTCTTCCGCTTATAGACGCCACTGATTTCAAACTTCAAATGCGACAAGAAAGTGACAATTTATTCATTTGGTCCAGAAAGTACTTTAATGTTTACAAAACTTAACACTGAATTGAATGAATTTAATTGGACGATTTTAGGTTTTTTGAAAAATTAAAAAAAATTGATTTTGCAATAAAAAGTAAAAACCAGTGGCGTAAATAACACTCCCACAGCCTCTGCACCGACTCGGTCACAATACTTCCTTCGCTTAGGCTCGGAAAGTAAAAAGCTGCGTCCCACCGGCATTGAACATTGGAACCTCCCATCGGCAATGCTAGTGCACAGCACCATCGCTGGGCTAATGGGTGTACGTATAATCTGTCTAAAGAAGAAGACAGAATAACCAACAAATAAATATAATAATAAAAATAATAAAAATAAACAAAAACAAGGTAGATTCGTAACCCAAAAATAAAAATAAAGCAAAAATATGTTGTTGCGCCGCACAGGTCGCACATTTCTTGCAGCAGCTGTCGACGTCTTTTTCTAATTTTAGAAAGCGTCTTATTCATTCCAAAATGAGCAGCAGAACCCCCATTGTGCATCTCTCGAAATACTTCTGGTGGTCGTAACCACCAACTGCATGGTGGTATGTTTCTTAAGCTCGCTTAAGCAATCCGTTCTCGATACGCAGGGATCCCCACTGCGCCCACAGCGCTTTGAATGAAAGTGACGCGTCTGATATTTCCGAGCAACCCACAGTTCTACCCCATATTCTTTTCATTTCAGCAACGGCTTGATATCCAAGTCCTCTTGATCTTTTCTAAGCTAAGCTGCAGTCCATTCTTGGTTAAATCGTTTAGTTTCCTGTAGTCTACGTAGAATTTCGTCGACCTATCTTTTTTGGTGACTAGCGCTACCGGCGAAGACCATGGACTATTTGATTCCTCTATAACGTCTTCATCCAACATTTTCTGTACCAGTTCCTCGGCTTTAAGTATTGCAGTTTCAAAAATTACTCATACAAAAGTTTAGTAAACTACAGATACGAGATAGTTAGGGATATGAAATTTGTATTTTTATACTCAAAGTTCCGTATTTACGGAAAAAACGTGAATCTATGCCTCCCACACACGTATAAGTTTTGTTTTAAAGTAAATAGTTACAGATTTGTGAAACTATTTTTCTCTGTGTTGCTTCTAAGTAAAAGGAAGGTAAAGCGTAACAGCAGCAAATTTTCTCTAAGTATAAATTATATTATTTATGGACTGACATACTATAGACAAGGACGCACTGTAAAAACATGAACAATACATTTTTAGTTTTTTCAATTATAGATCGATTTTTTTGATAAATACCTATTTTAATATGTAATAAAAAATGCAAGCGGCATCTCTGGTGTTTTGAAAGATAGTTTACTTATCAAATATAAAATCTACAAGTATGTCGGAAAATCTTTATTATTTCACTGAAATTTAAATGGACGTCGATTAAAGCGTTAATTGACAATAACTAAAAATGATAAATAAAGCGAGAATACAGACTAATGCTAACAAAATAATTGTTAAGAAGGTTAGTTTTGTACGAAAATCTTCTCTGAAATGTCTTCAGTTCCGATTTTACCCTAGAACATTAGAAAAAAAAAACTGAGTAACTGCCCAATAACAATCTGTTAAGTGAAACTTAATTGTTGTCGAGGAAATACATTGGTTTTAGATTCTTTCGTGTGATAAATAACGATGACAACGAAGCAGAAAAACAAAGAATCGACAACTTAAAATTTATATGCTGCTCGCTCTTATCCCTACCGTTTTTCGAGCGGTTCCGGGCTAACAAGAACTGATTCCTCGTAGTTGAAAGAACGCCTTTTTCTAGCTGGAAGTATTAATCACTATTTTCTAGGCAGGTTACATTACGGTTGACGGAAGACGATATTTCATCGAGCCCGTACAAGAACACGTTCCGAACGGAAACGGTCAACACCTTCACGTTATATACGAAAGATATCCGCGAGAAGATGAAATTCAGACGAACAGATGTGGAACTTCCACCAATTGGGAGGAGGCGTGGAAGAAGAGGTTTTTAGAAAAATACCGACAAGGTGGCTATGTAGAAAAGAGAGGATCGGAGAGCCTTCATAGATACTTAGAGACGATGGTTGTGTGCGACAAGAAATTCCTCGAGTTCCACAAGAACATCGATCAAGAAACTTATGTACTGACAATTATGAATATGGTAGGTTCTTCAGGTATTATATTTCCGGATAACGATCTAGAATTATTGCTGTTAAACGATCTGATAACGGACATAACGGACCAATTATGCCACGTAACGAAGGAAATCTTTATTAATCATGATTCGATTTAGTCTGATATATATGACTATTGTATGGTAAAGGCATTATTGTTGTCAGTTACAATGGTAGAACATATTTATTAATTTCTTTTTTTTATTTAATTCTGACTGAAATTTTAACTTCATGATTAAAAAAAACTTAGCTTTTAGAAATGAAAATGATACCTTTACCTAGATATTATAGCGCATTCAGTCTTAAATTTTTGTACTAAAAATGAAAGTATGTGATTATTTAAGTCTATACAAACAATGTAGAGTATTATGATTAGTGTATTTGTAGTGGATTATTATCCCTATGCAACAGATTCTCACAAGAGGCAGAAGTTGAATAATCAGTCTGTCACTTAACACATCGGGTTACATAAATAATATTAATAATATTTTTACAGCAAAATGTATTTTTAGGTATTTTTGTGCAGTGTCTCGTAGAACGATTGTAGACGATGTTTTCTGTAGTCAGTGATTGTTCGTTATAGTGTCAAATTTATAACCATTATAAATAAGGTCTAGAAGATTGTGAATATTTTGCTTCAAACATTTATTAGATTTTTGACAATTCGCGCCGACTACTAATTAGTAATTAAAGTGAAAAACAGTAAAGACTGAAAATGTATTGGTTAATAATTTGAAATATTGGTCTTCTGTTTATAATTCAACAAAAGTAAGACGCGATCAATAAAATATATCCTCGAGCTGGCGCTGCACGAGCAAGCTGTCTTTCTCATCGTCTGTTATTCACAATTGGGAGATAAAAATCCAACGCCAACTTTCTAGCATGATTTTTGTTAGAGCACTGAGAAAAACTTATTACGTATTACCTAGATAGCTGCGAAAAATAGTTTACTGTTATGTACCTATATATACCAAGATTAAAAGATTTAAGGCCAGTTTACACAACTGCGATATAGCCAATCACAGATTTAACGAAGGGTTTAGTACGTCTGATTGGCGTAGAGTAGTCATGTGGTACTTTAGTGCCGTGTAATAAATTAATCGCAATCGAACATATGTATAATTGAGCTTCTGTAAACCGGGTCTAAATGAGTTTAAAATTATTACTTGTAGAGGATTAAAATTATGTAATAAAAATTTACCAAGATAAGCTAAGCTAAGTAGTTTTAACTGGATACATATGTGAACATGTAACTTTAATTTTGAATTTGGAGTTTCCTTTTTTCTTTTTTTTGACAATATTATGATTTTTAAAATTTAGAATTTTTGTAATTACAGTAGACGCCGCTTAATATGATCACGGTTAATGTTATCAACCGCTTAGTGTGATCAAAATGGCTTGGAACGGTCCCACGCAATACCAATGCATTACAGTTTTTCCGTTTATTGTGATCAATATTTCGCTTATTGTGATCAATCTCCCAATTCTTATACAAGCTTTTTTGAAGAAACGAGACGATTGAATGTACTATTGTTTTTAATGAACTTTTATTGCTCTCAAAAAATACATTCGCTTATACTACTCACTTTATAGAGCCACAATCAGTGACAGACTTTAGTAATCAGCGCGTTTTCGTCTTTTGAATGAACGAATTTTTCCTGTTTTAAATTTGAGTAGTACTTATGTAAAAATGAGCACGTCAAAACGACGAGATCTCAGCTTATCAGAGAAAAAAAATTTTCAGCCCGTTTTTTCTAAAATAACCAAAGGAAATCAAGAGTTTCTTTCTCAGAATGATAACCAAAATTAAAAATAAATTCTAATGTTTATGTACCTTCATTTACCAGCATAATGAACACTCTCTTGTTCATGATTTTGATTTGTTTCAAGTTTTCCTGTCTCTGATGGTGGTTTTCGCTTATTGTTATCAGTCGGTTAGTGTGATCAATTTGTCTGAGTCCCAAAGTGATCACATTAAGCGGCGTCCACTGTATTTGAAATATTTTTTATTTTTGATGTATATTTCTCCGTTTTTAAGTAATTTGATTATTTAATTTGTGTTTACAAATTAAAGTTAGTGTACTTATATTTGTAATATACGAGTATTTACGTGCAGCACTATTTTCTTGCATTTGTTGCATTATAAATAAATTGTTAAATCTACATCAGACTGCATGATGTAATGTTGAAGGTATTTATTTTTTGTTTACTTATTATTTTTCTCACAATGTTAACAAAAGTAGACTATGTGAGAGAACCATATTTTTAAACAATTGATGCATGCATTATCTGCGGTGTGAGAAGCAATAACACCTGTGTAATTTCCGGAATTCCAATTGCACGAAAATGATTAGAGACCGAATCCTAAAAAAGTCGCTATATTGCTTTTACCTAGTCTTACTAGGAATATCAAAAACGGGTATTAATTAGTTAGACCTCACTAATTAACGAACATTATTCAACCGGAGATTGGCTTTTCAAATAAGTGGTATGCACGGAAAACATATGAGTGTACACGTGACTAAAGATTATTTCACAGTATGTTGTTCATTAATTAAATATTTGCGTTCCACCTTTTATAAATCTGATGTAGTGGTATAATTAATTGAATATTTATCATTCATATTTTATTTTACACATTCTACTCAAAAGCCTGGATCAAATCGAATTTTAACAAACATTTTTGTTTAATGGTCATTAGAGTTCTTATCTCGGTTTTGATCAAACAATTTTTTTCTATAGAATCCTTTGAAAGCATGTTGTTTATTTTTCCAACAGCTTTATGATTGAAATTGATTCGCTACATGCAAAATCGATTTCTACGTTGATACACATATTTGTTTATTGCATTTAAACGAGTTTACTCATAATGAAATAGGCAGGTTGCACTATTGAATTTTGCTTTGTGATTAAGTTATTTTCGCAATTACTGCCCCAAGACATTACGTCGTTTCAATCATAATTTTATGGATCGTTATCGCATTAAAGTATTCGAAATAGCAGACCGCCGCGTAGCTAAAGAGAGTAAAATGAGACTTGAATTAATTATTGGTAAAAATCCTGTCCTTCATCGTGTGCAATTAGGTTTGCTTTTTTTGTTATTTGCTTGATGGAGTTATTGCAACTAATCGATGTCTGGCGGTTTAATTATTCTATCTGATGCAATTAAGGTGTCTGCAAGAAAAATTGTGCCTCATGTATGTATTTAAAATGAGGCAATTAATTAGCGAATCAAAAAGTCGTGGAAGATGTTGTTAATGGGTATTCCCAAGTGGAAATCTTCGTGTCAGTCGAAATGTGTATGTCTGATTATAATGTTGAAAAAAATATATTGTGCATATTAAAATTGGTAACAGATGTGTTAATTTTGTTGTTTATTTCATGATAAAGATTCACCTTTTTGACGACTTGTAATTAACATCAAAGAATCACGCACTATTATATCAAACGTAAATTCTTGGAAACAGCAGCTGACTTGTTTTGAAATATGTTTTGAACCCCACTAATCAATATTCTGAAAGCTCTGTAATGAAGCAATTCTTTAGCGCTTGTTACCTGGCAGGATAAGAATTTGATGTATTGATCAGACAGGGTAGCATTAAACCACTGAACAATTATCGCGAGAAATTATTTATTTCAACACCTTTTATAGCGACAGCTTAATAATTGTTCTCCAAGTAAAAGAAAAGCATGTTTATTGAAAGTAGAGGAAAGCAAAGATTTTACGGAGGCCGGGTATTAAGAAACCAATTTAAGAAAGCTGACTAAGCGTTGAACTAATCTCATTCTTTGGACTGTCGTTTTAAACTGTCATAATGGAATGAAGAGATTTAAGTAGATTATTATGAAATACTAAATTTAAGGACCTTCCGGCATTCTACAATAGAAAAGCGAGTTATTGTTGGAGGGAGTCGTAATTACAGTTTTTTATAAAAACTGAAGCGAAAGAATAAAAAAATAATAGATACAGATCAGTTACATAACGACGTGATGAATTTATCACATGCCTAGTAGTGTATGTTTATTAGGGTGATTCAAAAAAAAAAATAATTTTTTTTTTTCGTGTCAAAGAGGTTCAAAAGTTTCTTTTCAACGTAAAAAAATACCAGTTAAAAGTTGAGCTCTTAATATTAATATTAAGACCGTCCGCATCGCGTTTTTCTATTTCCCATAAGAATAACATGGGAAAATTTTTGTTTGCACCTTCTGATTTTTATTGCTAGCCCGTCGTGTGTCGTGAAAAAAATTCAATCACATACTTTTATAGAGAATTGAACGCTCTACAAAAAGTGTCTCCTATGATTTTGCGAGAAACCTGACTATGATTTTTTAAACCACTGATGCTGAAAATGTTCGGAAAGAGTTTTACTGGCCTTATTATAGCATAAAATTATAAACAATTACTGTTTAAAAAACTAAATTTAAAATGTGTATCAATTTTTGTGGTGATTTATTCCAATAAGACCATCAAATTTATTGTAATGCATCAAAAACGTCAAAATTTGGATAAATTTAACTTTAGCCTAAAATAACTCTTCAACTATCAGGTTTCTCGCACAATCATAGGAGACACTTTTTGTAGAGCGTTCAATTCTCTATAAAAATATGTGATTGAATTTTTTTCACGACACACGACGGGCTAGCAATAAAAATCAGAAGGTGCAAACAAAAATTTTCCCATGTTATTCTTATGGGAAATAGAAAAACGCGATGCGGACGGTCTTAATATTAATATTAAGAGCTCAAATTTTAACTGGTATTTTTTTACGTTGAAAAGAAACTTTTGAACCTCTTTGCACGAAAAAAAAAATCATTTTTTTTTTTTGAATCACCCTAATGTTTATAAAAGAAACCTAACTGATTACTTTATTATTGAATTATATTGCCAATATAACATAACTTGCTGCATAAGCTTATTTCACTTTGCTTCAAGGAATCATAGAGTTCAAACAATTTTATAACACTGAAATCCACACAGGTAACCAAAAATGACGCTCTCACCATCTGAGCTATTCGATTATATTTAACTCTTACATGTATTGTTATAAAACGTTATAGAATTTTAATTTCTTTTACGAAAAAAAAATTACGCGGATTCATAAAATACCAAGTACAGAAGTAAGTTATATTTTAAAATTTAAATAGCATTTATATGCAAAATTTTGTGGTGATGGTATCAAACGATATTAATGTCAGACAAATTTTGGTTACCGTTTAACCACCTATATGATATTCCTAAAATACACATTAAGTTCTACAACAGTCAGTGCGGCAGTTTCGTACATTATTTGTCTAGTAAAAATCGACGACAGACGAAAAATATCAACAAGAAACCTACCATTTCATACTCTAGGGGTAATGAAACGTCAAGGAAACATCAAAGTATACTATTGCAATACTTCCGTGGCACACCCTTTGAAAATATAAACATACATTATTTTTTTATTCCGAGTGTAAGCTAAGGAAGCATTATGATATGTATAATTTACAGTCATCTTTGACGAATGTCGAAGTTCATATTTTCTCAACGTTTCACAGCTTGTAGAAAAGAAAAATGTTTGTCTATCTGTTGTGTATTGTACGTATGTTTGTTAGCGATTTTATAAGACCGAAAATTTCCAGAATTCCTGAAATGATAATTGCCGGTTTTTAAAGTAAAGTGTTTTTAAAGTATTTTTTGTAGATGGTAACACAAATAAAGTCTGTTCGAAGGTCTACAATGAGTACATCAACGTTACTGTGCTACCAAAATTTCTAAAAAGTTTGTCTCGTAGATTCTCAGACAAAATGTAAAAAGATTTTATTTTTACTTCCCGAGCGTAAGCAAAGGAAGTATTGTAATCGAGTCCGTCGGCCGACTCTCTACTTTTACGTTTTCTCGATTTTTCATGACCCCTAGAAAACGAAGAAATAGGTCTCCCATTTCCGTCTGTCTGTCCGTCTATCTGTCTGTCCGTCTGTCCGTCTGTCCGTCTGTCCGTCTGTCTGCCGTCCCGGATTTTTATTAGACAGATAATCTCCGAAAGTACTGGACCGATTGTTGTGAAATTTTGTACTTATATTAGGAATATCATGTAGATGGTAAAACGCTAACCAAAATTTATCTAATCATCCCTACCACTAATTCGATGACGTGACTTCAAAATTGTACATAGTAAATGAGTTTTAAATTGTATAAAATAACATAGTCCTACACATGTAGTTTACGATTCCGAATTGTGTTTTTACCCGAAACGTCCAGATTTTTGGAAAAAAAAATCAAAATTATAAAACAACATTTTGCAATTTAATTTTGAATCTGCTAACCCGAATGTTTTGAAATGTTCCAGATGTTTTAAGGTTATAAAGAGCATAATAAATTTTTAGTCAAAATATATTTGGTTATCTTCTCCAAAAAACTGATGACGTCAGCTCCAAAGTTTGCGGAATAAATCCTATCTAGAATATACAAAATATGATGAGTCTATCATTCCATTTATATTTTTTGAATTTGCATATACCGGGTGACTCAAAAAAAAAAATGAATGCGTAAATTTATTTTATTGGTTTACTCAGGAACTGCAAAACCGAATGCTTTGAAATGTACTGCGAAAAAAACATAATAGGCATGCAGTCGTCAGGTTTCCGACAGCGAGGGAAGTACTGTCTAAACTCTTTAGACCAATTTTTTACAACACTCGGTATGCGTAAACTTAGACATATGTACTTAATTAAAGATTAAATAGCATGTTACAATATAAGATTTACATCGTACAATTTTTAGATTATGTAATTAAATTTCTGGTGTCGATGAGGAAATAAATTTTGATTAGTACTGTCACTACATAAGCGATAATCTTAGTACATGTCCTAGTAGAAAATAACCAACAGACTGACGACAGGAGACAGACTACAAACGATAAACGGACGGAAGCATGAAAACTGACGTTTGCGGACTACAAGTTGCGAAACGTTAAGAGGACTTGGAATTAGACTTCCATCAAAGTTGCCTTACTGAAATGTTTCTGTAGCGTATACTCTAAAAGTAAAAGTAAAATTGGTGTACGATTATGCAGAGCTTTATCTTCGTATAATAATGAATTTTTCTCACTTATTTTCTCCCAAAATATAATTTAACTTAAATAAATATAACAAGACTACAGTTTTATAAGATGTGTTCGTTTGACTTAAAAGTAAATGGGGGTTGTCGTCAATTAACTTCAAGATTTGTTTGAACGTCATTTCGGTAAAGATTTTGTCTTAAATCATATTTATTTTGTTGCACCGTGCCTAATTCACACAATCTTGCACATTTAATACGTTCCTGTGTAACGTTCTACACTTTTGTCGCACCTCACCATAAACTAGGTGCACATTCTTGGTTCATAAAAGTAATAGGCATTGTGCAGCTAAATCTATGACACTACGCCACTAACATAAAATTCACTGTCAGTCATGACAATAATTAAGGAGTATTGTTTTACGATGTCTCTTGATTCTTAAGTTTCAGCATATTTAAAACAAAATTTATAACTGGTCCGTTTCAGAGTACTTTATTTTTCCTAAATAGGAAGTTACAGCCAAAATAATTTCAAATTACTACTTCTATTAGTTGCCTTCATTATATTTTTAATCGTGGCTACTTTCATAACAAACTGTATAAAAACTTTTCTTTCGATAGAACTTCCCTCGCTCCTGAAGTTCAATAAAACATACCCAGTTTTTTCAAAAAAATATAAAATTGGTTTGCACATTTTATTTTTATAAGAACCCCTATAAGTTTATATAAAGGTATGTTCAGTGGCGACCAAAATAAAGTACGATACACTTCTTTCCCTAGCGTTATTACTTTCAAATTTGTGTTGACGTTTAAATGTCATTGTTAATGCATACCTATTCAATAGAGTCCGGTTTACACAACTAAATTTATTAACAAAATCCTTTCAAGAGGTGTCCTACTTTACTTTGGTGGCCACTGTGTGTAATGTGAAAGTAAATGTCAAGAAGCAAGCTAGGCACAGTTTCAAATGAGTTTTTGCTTTAAAAAATTTGTGATGACGTCTTCAACATTTTCGCAAGGACACCATATCAGTTTGTGGAGACGCACAATGTAATACTAATAATAACAGTATTGCATTTCAAAATTTCGGAGAAAATAGAATGAGTCATTTCTGATTTAATCAATAAAATAAATTGACTCATTCATACATTTTTTGAGTTACTCTGTATTAGCGATTCTAAAAAATATTAATACAATGATAAATCACAAGTTAGTATAGACTCATCTTTTTCTTTCGGCTAAATCTGATGGTGACCTCGTCATTTTTTTGGGGGAGATAAACAAATATACTAAAAAATTACTGCGCTTATGATAACTTTAAAACATCTGCAAGATTTCAAAGCATTCGGTTTCGCAGATTTTTACTTGTTGAGAAAGTAAGGCATTACAGTGCATCACTACTACAAAAATTAATTGTTTAGTTTTCAAGTTAAAATAAAACAATGGTATGTAGATCATTAAATTAAAAATAAAGAATTATGCTAGGCACTGTTTCAAAGCAGTTTTAACAATTGCAGTTTTTTCCATAATTTCAGAAAAATGTAGTAACCTGTTTTTGATCAATAAGTAAAATAAGTTGTTTTATCTGCAGTTTCCAAGTTAAATGGTAAAATATTGTTGTAAAATTTTGTTTTTTTTTTTAAATCTAGTTTCGGATAATGTGTCCAAACAATATCAATAGAAGCCAGGTAGACTGAAATGGGATACATACTTCTCCATATTCTAGGAGCTACTTACGCTGGGAAAGTTATAGTTAATACACTGCCTATTTGTGTTTTACTTTCAATCTCTACAGTTAATACAAACTTTTTATAGTTTTTACAAGAGCAAATTTTATTGACAACAAGCTGAAAAGTGTGGAAATTGGTTTGTTGTCAAACAATAATATAAAACAAGAAATTACTATTATTATCTGCAAATAATAACACGATATAATTTGTAGTAAGCACAGTGGCTGTTGTCAATATGTAAAATATAACAGAGTCCATGAGAAAGAAGAAATAATTTTTGCTAACATGGAATTTTATTATTATTTTTTTAATTATCAAGGCACCATAAGAAAGTTGAAAATATGTAAAATACATTGTTTTAGTTTTCTTGATAGATTATTCATGGAAACATTGCATTTTCCAGAGTGGGTTAATTGATTTTATTTAAAAAATATTTAGGTTTGTGACACTCTTATGTTGTAAACAAATGAATAATTTCTCGACTTATTTTCGAGCGCACTTCATTTGTTATATATTATCTTTGTTTACTTTAGAGTAAATATATGCGAAAGAAAAATTGTTCAAATTTGGTGGCATGTGCACGTAAAATATGAGCTCAGATGTAGGAAATTTGATTTTAATCTACTTATTGTTACTACGAAAATAACAATTCGCGTGTGGCGATCATAGTTGTTGTTTATTCAGATCGCTTGGAAAATTAGTACGCGAAGTAGAATATAAAACCAGGATCTGATTACCTAGATAGGATTTATTGCCTACTTATTTAAATATTTTCCCGTGCAAACGCCTTCAATCTAGATAAAATATTATTAATAGCCATTATATTGGTGGAAATAATTAAGTGCTCGCAGAAATATTACATGTATATTTTAGAAATAAATTGTCTAACTTAAACTAGATATGTGAGCAAGCCCATAGATTGTAATCAAGAAAAGAGGTTTGAGTTTTAAATCTTATCTTTCTTTCATAATTCGCCAGGTAGCTGATTTTTATCACGATCACACCAGTGGAAACATGATGGACGTGGTAGTCGTGAGGATTCTGTATCTTGACAAAGAAGAGGAGGAAATTGACCTCGTCATAAACCCTAATGCTGAAGACACGCTGGCGAGTTTTTGTAAGTGGCAGCAGAAAATCAATCCGAAAGATATTTCCAACCCTAACCATCATGATATTGCGGTGTTACTGACAAGGTAAGAGTCTTGTACATCAGGAAGTGGGTTTGATTTGATCTAAAATTAAAATATCGATCAGCAGGGTGAGTGCACATCGCTACATGCATGTACATAGCTAAGCATGCGATTACTACATTAAATTTCGAGAAAAATTATAGAATGTTTAAGACTGCGTTTTGCCTGTTGAGTCTGAAACATTATAGTATCGATCAATACAATAGAGTAACTATTGCAACACTGTCTCTAAAATGAACCTGATTTCAATGTTAGTAATTAGTAATTACCCAAAAATTGAAAACATTACTGATCTGTATTGCGTTTAAAAAAATTCAAGCTTAGTTTGTATAATCACGAATAATAACACAAAGCTCAACGAAAGAACTTTTGCTCTTAAAATATAAATTAAAGAATTCGAGAATAAGTAACTAAAACAGCCCACAATGTCTAGTCAGAACACCAATGATGACAATTAGCTAACACGAAAATTAAATGATGTAAGTACATATACTAAACGCCCATAAAATAGTTATTTATAAAATAATCTAATGTTGAAGTTGGAGATTGGCTAATACCTACTTTTTCACCCAAGCGTGGTCATTTTAACTTACTGAAACTTGTAAATCACCATATTCCAAATGTTTTAAAGATGAGTAAAAAATTGATTACGCATTTGGAGCACCAAATAGATAAGTTTTTATTAAAAATTAAAAGAAACATATTTTTTTCCATCCAGTATTTTATAGTTAACTGTTTATCTCAATGGAACTATCTTGGCTTCGCCCATATATTTTTAATTAACTTTGTGATCTTACTACAAGCTTGATGTCTATATCCGTTTTCAATAAAGTTAACCCCTACTGTACGCTTGACAATTTAGAACCGTACTAAATAGGTTATTGTACATAAACAACTTATTACTTTTAATAACTTCTGAGATTTTACTTCTTGCCTTGTTGGTTTATCTAACCTCATGAATTTTTAACGCTTGTATTAGTAACTTTAAAACTAAAGTTTATGTAGACTGTAAAGTTAAATGTGCACTGATACTGAGAAAAAACATTATTTATAAATTTTTGTATATATGTACAAAAAATCCTTCAACCACTTCGCCCCAATTCACATTGACTGTAAGTTGAGACGGCAGAAAGTCTCCTTAATTCGTTATTAGTGTCATATTGGAAGTTCCCTGTTTCAATTAAGGCTTGTCATAGCGCGTCCAATTACGTCCGGAGTGGTCCCTGAGATGGTCCGCAATAAGTGTCACAAGATCGAGGCACATGCTTTTTTATTATGTTGTAACGACCCAAGGAATCACGTTTGCTTCGTCTTTGCCGGCATTCCGCTCAATGTGACTGCGGTGGTACGTTTTTCATATTGCACGAACTGAGCTATTAAAATGTTTGAACGTGTATTTTTGTTTATATGTTAGTTTAGAGTAAATAAATAATATAAAGCATAATGACTTTAAAGAATAACGTAGATGATAGGAAGCTTTTGCACTACATGGACAGTATTCCATAACTTCCACTTACGTATTACGAATTTATTTTAGAAGTTTTTCGTGCATTAGTTTTTATATTGCAGTTGTTTCGGAATAAATATGTGAAAAATATAATCATATGTACCTACATCCGTTAAAAAACTGGTCTAAACTTATTTAAATAATTCAGCCCCTGTCCTTGACTTGAAGCACAATTAGTTCTGTATGTACGTATTGTTAGTCTTTTTCATGACAAACATATTTATTAATTTTTTTGTAAGCATAATCATTTTAATTGTAGTGTAGGTAAGGCAAACGTCGTCATGACCAAAAACAAAAAAAATGATCGGTTGATCTGTTCATTATTTTTGGATAATCATAAAATCTAAAGCATTATTAACACAACAAAAAACACACTAAAACCTCGAAAGAATGTTTCTAATAAACGTCTACATATTTAATAAGTCTTTAAGATGTTGTCATTTAGTTTCTTGGAGGAAATGAATATTAGTGTTCTGTAAGCACTAAAACAGTGTTAGTTGATGTTAGTTTTAGCGCTTTAGTGTTCTAGTTAGTTTATCAAAAGTTTAAGTCGTTAATAACTTGATTCGGCGAATTTTTTCCTGAAAACCCCTATACGTTAAAATCAAAGTAGGCAACAAGTTTTAAGTGAAATATTCTTAAAAAAAATTGTGATGACGTCATTAATTTATTAGGGGAAAAGAATAAGAAAATTTTATTTTTCTTATGATAAACGGTATGCGTCTGGTTAAAAATATGGATACATAATAGTGGAATAATGGCAGATTATGCCCAGATATAAATTTTAAGATTTACTTCTCAAATTTTACCTACAAATACATAAAATTTCGGGTAGGTATAATTCTGTAAAAATTATGTCGAAACGTCTAAAAAGATTATTGTTAACAAAATATCGGGTGCTAAGGTGAAAAAGTCATCAAGTTGGCCTTGATTTTTGCTAATGACTTCTTGAATTGAACACCCATTAGGATCCTTATGGAAGTGAAATTTCATGCTTGCGCTTTAAAAATTATATCTTTAGTGATCTCGGATTATTTCTGCCTTTAGTAAAATGATTATGATTTCAAATTAAATGTAACATATTCTTGAAAATAACCTTGTAAAGTTGTGTTTAATTTAATATTTTATGCATAAAAATGTTATTCATGCTAATGTTACACATTGCACGTAATTTTTATAGGTCAACATCTCAGCGTCCTTTAGATTAATTCTTACAGTCTTGTTCTTATAAACAGTTACACAAGTAGCTGTCAGTGTTACGTTCCAAACATAGACAACTAGCTTTTATAAAGGAGTATATTGTTTTATTAATTTTAGTAATCTATTTCGTTTAAGTGGCTGTTTACGCCAAGAATAAGAACAAAATATAGGAATTTCACTTTTCGTTAGCATTTCGATTCTATTCTATCCATCAATGTGAATAAAATATTTGACCAAATAATATTTTCTGATCTGTATTTTGTTGACGAAACCATAATTTTTGTTGAAGTTTTAATTTATTTACTTCAAAATCAGTAGATACATATTTTACCCACTCTTCTGTTTACTTCGACAATATGAATAAGATCTACAGAGTAAAACAGTAACATATCAACAAAAAGATTTCAAAAAACTAGATTACGCATATTAATATTAATTCTCATATTCTCCATATTTCAAGGAGTTGCGATAAATTGTTTGTAATATTTGCATGTTTAACTGTTTTCACATTTTTGGAAGAGTTTGTATATGGGTTCTCTTTACCGACAGGAAGAGATGAATCATGAAACACTGTGTAAATAAACAAAATTTTTAATTTGTTAGGACAACAGTTCTAATTATCGTGTTCAGTGATATATTCAATGCCGGAACGGCCAACTCTGCAAAACACACAAGGACTGTAAAATACACACTCAGATCTAACTAATTTTCATAGATAATGAGAGATGTGATATGTCGTATTATAATGTTTTAACAGATGTATACCATCACTGAATTTTAAAGATTTTGTTATATGTTACAGAAAGAGCTCAACAAATATGTGATGAAATGCTCTTTGTTGAATGAATCATCATTTACAAAATGTGAATGAGATCCTACAAGCATAGTCATGTTTTCCTTACTTTTAAAAATACTGCATAACAAATTCTAAATAGATACAATAAAATTGTTTTCTCTGTATTAAATCCACCGACTGTAAGAAAAGAATATTTTAGCTGATGGCTGTTGGTCAGTTAGGAATAATCAAGTTGTGTGTATGTACAAAAGCACTGCACAAAAGTGCCTTCTACAGGGTTTTCATAAATGATTATAGGGTCGCAGTAGGTTATGGATGTGTGCCGCCTTTCGCTTTATGTGTATTTTACTAAATGTGTCCTTGGGCACGACAAGCACCACATGCATCTGTATAACTGGTTGCCTAAATGCTTCATGATTAAATATCAAAAACGCATGCGTCAATACACATGTGACTAACATAACAAGGCGATACTGGCGATAACAAGTGAAATTTTTGGTTGGCTGTTGATATACACACGCACAAATTCCAATAACTAAATCATCCACGGAAAAAGAAGTTCCACGTTTAGGAGTATATTTGTAATGAAGTGCAGGAGGCGAAGCGCCCGTGTGTCCTTTCAAAAAGTTAGGTTATGTTAGCAACGGCTGCAATGCTGCAATTAAAGAATGCACGAATGAGAAATTTAACAAATTTTTGTGGCAAAAGGAAGCATTTGCATAACATTTGAAGATCAAAAGATGCTGTAGAAGAGCTTTGCACAAACAGTTTGTGCGAAATCGAGAAGCGCGTGTTCTGCGCGATGTTACGGAGTTAGATAAGCGCAAATGTAGTTCATTTTCAAACTGTTTTTCAGAAGTTGAAGGCGCATTGATGACCAGTGGGACCAAGGGCCTTTGGTGGTTAAATATGCCTTTATATACATGGACACCAGATGCATATGCTTAGAAAGATGATTTTTGATTAAGAACTCAGAGCAAGAGTATCTTTAATGGTGTATACAAATTTGACAAACAACGCATTTTAATGTCTGATAACTACATTTCCTATCCATCAGTTCTACTTCATGAAAGTTAGTTTTGGTTTGTGAGTGCATTAAATGTTTTACAGCAGATTCTTTAGCTACATTATCAAAACTTATCTGGGTGGCAAGTTTATGGGACTTACTGACCAAAAGGTCATGGTGAATAGCTGTAAGTCATAAAGTAGATGAAATTCTTGACTAAGATGTATCCTTCAGTAGTTTCTTCAAAGTGTCTAAATATGTTTCCAGCCCTCTATTGGTTTACCACCAAAATATTTGTATTTCAAAGATCTGTGCAAAGATTTGGCGTGCATGTTGGTGTTAATGCCTGCGTTCTTTTGATAACACTGGGCCCATGACTTCATGCGCTCTTTATTTTGAAAGTAGTAAGTGTTTAAATAATTTACAAATTTACTTTTTACCAAAAATTTAATCAGCTCTTGCTTCAGTCTTATAAATTTATTTTCATCTGTTTCTTTTAATACATAATCTAATTTTGTAAGAATCTGATTTATTGTTCCAGGCATTCCAATATGTAGCTGTAACTATCATCTGTCATGAAATAATTGGGTACCAAAACCGATATTAATGATTTTATTTCACCAACCAGAACCTCTTATATGTTGGTGTCCTTTCAGTTGGACAGAATAAATGTTACTGGATAATCAATATTTTTATCATCTAACACATGGACTTGTGGTCAATTCAATGTCATAGAGGTTTGTCCCATGTGTGCCATCTACACAAATGATTTTGGCGCCATATTTTTTTAACATATACTCCAGCCCACTGTACATGAAAGCTAATGCAGTCATTTTTGTGCAATTTTTCATGTTCTGATGCACAACAAGATTTTCCTTACTTCATTTACCAGATATATTATTTTTTCTGCAATGTGGGGAATGTCTTTCATAGTCAGAAGATTAAATCTGGTACATGAACTGAGTTCTAGATTTTTAACAGTTTCAATTATTTTTTCGTGTGTTACACCAGTGCGAATTTGTTCAACTAGATATGCCGTTTCTTTTGTAGTCAGGGGTTGACAGCGAAGATCATTGTGATGAACAACATGAATAGCAATAAACTGAACAAGTACCACTGAGGAAGAATGATCAAAGTGAGCTGTAATTCGTGAAGGACAGACTCCTTGCATTTTGATACTGCCACTAATTTTAGGAGCTCGTATATTACATTTACTAACAGAATTTGCTAGATTACTTCTGACATTCATAGTAGAAAATAATAATTCGTCATATAAAAGAATTAGTTTTTAACTCTAAATCTGCTTTTCGTGTAAAAAAAATCTTCCGTTTTCTTAAATTGTAGATCCTTTACTTCCAACTCAATGTTATAAACGATGTTGAAATGATTCGTTAATAAGTGAAAACGCTGAAAGTTTTCAAAGCATAGCGGACAAATTATTCTGCTAGTTTTTAATATTTTTGAAATTGTCGCCGTGAAAATATCTTAGATGTCGATTTGTACTTGAAATTATTTCACACAATAAGCACATTTTGTTAACACTTCAAACTTTTGGATGCTCATACTGAAATATGTTTTGTCATGTCTAGTGCTTGTTTTTACTTAATAAAATAATAGAAATTTATCTGTCCATTGTCCTTTTCATAAAAATTACACGAAATTCTTTAATTAGCCACAAAACAATAGTATGTATATTACAAAATTAATATTTCACTTCCCGCCACAAAAGTACATATTCAACGAAAATATATAAACGTAAAAGATAAAAATCCAAATATAACTTTGACTGCTGGGTAGCTTCTAAACCCTCATCGTAGAGTAAAATCAAGGACCACCAGATGGGTGAACGGACACGGATAATCAGAGTTTTTACGATTTGAGATTTCATTCAGTTCTATCAAAAATTTTATTGTACATAATAAATAGGTATTTAGAACGTAGTGTGATTTCATTTTAAGTATCAAGCTTCAAAATATACTTTCGTTGCTAATTTTAAAGACTAGTTTTTGATTTTTGTTGTTTTTTTTTTGTGTACAGATTCGTTTCAATGCAAAATTAGGTCACCCACATAGAATTTGAACATTTGAAATTACGCGGGCGTAATTTGTTACCCTCATGCGCGGAACTCCAACATTCTTGATAGTCAATTTGTTGTTAAAAATAAAAATAATTCATAATGGAATAAACAAACAAATTTATTGTGGTTAAACATCACAGTAAATGTTGAAAATGTTCACCATTTAGTTCAAGGCACATATTCACTCTCTTTTTCTTACTTTCAAAAATGTTCTGTAACATCCTTCCATCAATGCTTTGAACCCATCGTTCAATTTCATGTTGCAACTCTGCCAAGTTATTCATTTGCCGTTGAAACACTTTGTCTTTCAAATATCCAAATATTGAAAAGTCCAATGGCGTAAGATCTGGGGAACATGGTGGAAATGCATGCTGCACTCCTAAACTTATTACACGATCGTCATAATGTTGTTGTAAATATTCCAATGTAGCACGTGCAGTGTGTGCAGTCGCGCCGTCCTATTGAAAGTACCCTAACTGCAGCTCTTCGTCATCAAGTTGTTGAATAAATGGTTCCAAAATCTGTTGCCTATACCTCTCTCCAGTCATAGTATCATGAAAGAAAATAGGTCCATATATTCGTCTACGAGAAACTGCCAACCATACTCCAATTTTTAAAGGATGAAGAGGCGTCTCTACAAAAACATGTGGATTTTCGGCGGACCAAATTCTAAAATTTTGCGAATTGACATAGCCAGATAAATGAAACCATGCTTCATCACTAAAAAATGTAACGTCCAGTAACCCGTCATCATGAAAAGTATTCTGAAACTAATTGCAATATTCTACGCGGCGTGGAGGATCTATTGGTAAAAGTTGTTGCACAGTAGTTACTTTGTAAGGATGCATATGCAATCGTTTTTTCACTACTTTGTGACATGTGGTTACGGGAACTCCTGACTGTTGAGATAATCTTGTCAAAGATGTTTGGGGATTCTGCTCGAGTCTTTCTCTCAAATCATCAACAACTTCCTCAGATACTGCAGGTCTCCCAGAAGATTTCCCTTTGTTGACATTGCCAGTGCGAACAAATCTGTTGATGACATCTCTAATGTGAGCCTCTAATGATGTTTCTTGAATTTCCAAATCAGGGTAATTGGCCAGATATTCTTGCTTACAAGCGGCTACAGAATACAGCTACGCTCCGTCTACGAATGTCCCATTGCGATAATAAGACATAACGATGAAAGTGTTTTGTTCAACCGAATAAACCATTTTCACGGTCTTCGCTTCGAGCACAAAGTTTTCGCACGCAAGCACCAAGAGCCTTGAGAAAGGCTATTTTGTTGTTTTAAACTTGGATCAACGAGAATTACTGTAAATCACACTTGGAAAGTGGTAGAACAATAAAAGCGATGATTTTAAGTGACAGGTTACAAATGACAAGTGAGAACTGTCAAATGAGACAATTTCAGCAAAGCGGCATTTTTGAAATCCATGGCCAACTACGCCCTTAGAATCATTTATGAAAGCCCTGTATTAAGATTAAACGCTATCATTCGTGAGTTAAAATTCTTTCACCATCTGAACAGCAATTTCGTTTGACATAAAACTAATATAATTATACAAGATGACGAAGAAATTGTGTATGGTTGTGGAAAGTATTGATGAAAATACATGACCCTGCCGTTTGTTATCAGATTTCTGCTATCATCAAGGTAGTTACTTGCTTAAATAAATACTTACTCCTTGTATGCCAGAATTTATTGGCAATAACAATGATTTTAACAAGTTTTGAGTTGATGTCATCAAATTTTTCATGAAAACAATACTAATTGCGCTATGTATAAATTAAGATTAAACTAACTAACAAAATTAACACGTCAAGCTCCTAGAATTTTTATGTTTCTGCAATACTTGATAAAATTCATTGTCATGTATACTTTTACTTGTCCAAGCAGTCTTAAAAGTAAGAAATACTACTGAAATACAAATCATGATTTCAGGGAGTACTTTTTAATAAAAATATGATACTCAACTTTTTGATTGTGGTTATGAATTTTTTGTTGGAATAAGTTTAGTTTTGATATGAACAATTTAACTAAATTGGTATGTATTTTCAGAATTTTGCGGAACAGTTCTGGTGCTATCAATAAAGTATATCAGTATAAACTTGGTTTTAGGGCAACCACTAAACGTAAAGTGGAAATTAGGGGTGAATCATTAAACCGCAAATAAAGGAGTGCGCGTAATGACATACACATTTCGAGTGAAATTCATAATATATCACCTGCGTTTAGTAGCAGTAAGATGTGCTAAATAATTTCTTTTCGTTTGCCGTTTTCGAGTTTTGTCACGCTACTACCGCTCTTTAACACCAGGCGAGAAAGCAGACGCGCTAGTAAAGTTTTCCTTTATTGTTATTAGGTACGATATATGTGCGGACAATCTGTCAAACTGCGGTCTCATGGGTCTGGCGTACGTGGCCAGCGCCTGCGACTCGAAGGAGTGTTGCGCCATCAACGAAGACGGAGGACTCGTCCTGGGAATCGTCGTCGCCCATGAAATGGGACACGTGTACGTATTCACGTGCTGAAAGGTGCTCTCATCATCTATCCGTCCTTTCATCAACCGCTTTTAGCCAAAAAACGGAAATCGACGCATCGATTTTCGATATCTTACTGAATATTTTGATTTATTTCAAAGGAATATGCTTTTTCTCTGTTGGCAGGATGGGCTGCGCACACGATAAGGAGGGAGAGTCGACTTGTCCAGCTCAGGATAAAGACGAATCTTTTTTCGTAATGGCCCCTTACGTGCACTTGTACACCACTAGATGGTCCACTTGCAGCAGAGGTTTCATGACCGCTTTGTTTGAGTAAGAATGTCTATACTTTTCTAGATTATTGCATTTTTTACGTTCTCGTACGTCATTTTTATCGACGCGAATGCCTTGACCTATCCTTAGACTGGAAATGCTTGCCATGGAATTTGGTTACCTACAAGGATGCGCAATAACAGAATATGTTAAAATTACACACGATTTAGACTGTGTATGTCGGTTTGTTAAATAAATAATAAAATAAGTCGACAGGTTCAGAAATCGAACAATTTAATAAACCTGACATATGTGTGACGTAACATCCATAGATGACATCAATTTAGCTTGATTTACTTTGCAGATAGAACATGTTTTTAAGATCAAACAGTTTTAAAGGTATATTTAGACTGATGGCATGGACCTGTTTCTTTGTTGATTAAAATATTTTGAACACAACTAAATTATCTATATTTTCGTTGCTTTCCCCACGCAATCCATCATTTCTTTGGTTAGTCAATAAACGTATTATAATAATATCAGTCCAGTTTCGAAATATATTGTTTAATTTTAAATACCAAAAGTAGCTTCATTATCTACAGATAAAATTAAGTGAGCTTAATTACTTTATCTAAACGCTAATACTAATTTATGCCGAACAAACAATATTTCGGAAAATATTTCTTGAACACTAGTGTTTTTGCAACAACCTCCAATTTATGTTAAACGAAAATAAATGCGTTAGCTAGATGAAACAGTTTGACAACTGAAATATGGGACCTTCGAGAAAATGTGCTAATCAAATAATATGTCGCTAACTTGCAACTTTTAATTTTGATTTATATTTACAAAAAGTATACGCGAAAAAGTTTACAAGGAAAAGCCTCCAGATGTTCGTAAAACTGTTATTTCTGGTATGTTTTTGCAAAAAATGATTCAATTTATATTCGAAATAGTGATGAACAACGCCTAGCATAATCAGTAGACTGTTGCTTTTAACTGAGATTACGATGTCCTGAATACTTTGATGGGGAGTATTGAAGTCACACTTAGATTACCTTTGGACTTTTCTCGTAAACTCAGCTTGGCTTTTTTCTAACTAATTATTAAACTATTATATCACATTTCCTATAACTTTAAAGAAAGCAAATAACAGCCACGAACTACTAAGCATCTCAAAAGTTATGTAAAACATAAAAGTAAAGTAAAATTCTAAATGCAAAACAAAAGACTGGATTATTGGTAGCAGGGCAGTAGGATAATGAGAAAAATATATGACATATATAAGATATATTACAAATAGGATTATTGTACATAAATATACACTAGACTTTAAAAACTATAGTTTCGCACATTTTTATCCATTTGGTTAAATTGATTGTTACACAGTTTCTCACTTTTAAAAGCATTATTTCTTGAAATTTTCAATCTTCAAATCAGGGTACGTCTGTTTACGAAAATGGTACCTATACTGCGTCATTAAGACTAATTTTAAACAATATACACACTGTTTAGATAAAGCATATCAATATTTTTTTGCTGTGACTTTCGTAAGAACTTACCTTGCATTTTATTCAAGTCCATTAATGAGGTTCATTTCTAGAAGGTTCATCAAATTTAATAATGTATACTTCAGGTTTTCTCGTGTTAGGGCGAAGACGAACTGTTCTGTGGAATGTGGAAATATTTCCTCAGGTCGAATATTTGTTTGATGTGTAAATTTTCTGAGTGTGGATGATGTGTTCTGTGATTGCTGAGTTGACTGCTTTCATTAGATTCTTGTTTAATTCTGTCTTACGAACTAATCTCAATCTTCGTAGACACTGTTGTTTCAGTTTTGTTTTGTTGTTATTAATAGTGAAGGCTGATTCTGAAATGATATGACATTTAGATACCTCTTTGTAAGATGACGGATACCAAATAATGATTATGTATTGATGATACTGACGACATCGCTATTATTATTAATAATGTTATTATTCATTATTGCCATTTTTATGGGGGATTATGACCATGATTTATATTGTCATTATATTTATATGCAGAATTAACAGTTTGATTATAGAAAAATATAGTAATTGATGAATGAGTAACAGTTTCGTATTCGATCGTTCTAAGTATGTTTTGTAGAAGTCATTAAAAAGATTAACATATATTTTAGTTTAAACTTCTTATTTATTACCTTCTGAGTGTAAGTGAAGGAAATCTTCTTATTAGCTTCTATCGAGCGACTGGATACTTTCATGTTTTCTCGACGTCACATGACCCCTAGAGTACGAAGAAACTAGTCTATCCTTTCCGTCTATCTGTCGTCTGTGTCGATTTGAATTAGACAGGTATTCTCTAAAAGTACTGGATCGATTGTTGTCAAATTTTGTATGTACATTGAGAATATCATGTAGATGTAAAATGCTAATAAAAATTTGGATAATTGTCCTCACCAACAATTTAATGACATCATCTCAAAAGTTTCTACATAAAAATTATTTAAGTGTTATACAATAATATACTCCTAAACTAGATTTAAGATCTTATGGCCTGCGGAGGTGTAGAAGCAGTCGGTATAACTAGGATAAATCGATCAAGCGCAACACCGTCCTGAAAATGTGAAGCGGTTAATGAAAAGAAACAATTGTTTCTGGACAGATGGTAGTCTGAGCCGAACACTCCCTCTCCAAAGTTTGGTTTTATATGTACCATAAACTCCATAAACTAGAGGGTCACAAAATTTTGAACCTGCTTTACACTTGTATTGTATGAATCCGCTTTGACTTTTCCCTTAGGCATACATATTTTTCCAAAAAAATTAACAGGCTATAATAATCTTTTACGAGCAACGCCGGCGAAGGAGCTCTGTGGCGCCGGAGAATTACGTACCAGCACTGGGGCTTGCAAATACTCGAACGATGTCGGATTTGCAAAGTAAAAACCTTCGCGCGTTCGATCCCCAAGATGGCCCGTTCTTTTTTTTTTCTTACACTGTGACTAGTATTGTCTATGTATACTGTTTATTCTGTGTAGATTATTACAAAAACGTAAAATTTTTAAAGAAGCAAGATTTGTTGGACTTCAGGGACGAGGGAAGTCTTTCGAAATAACCTTGGACCAATTTTTGTTGTTGTGTAGAATAGCTAATGCAGAATCAGTTTAAAACAAGCGGTTTTTAGAAGTCTAAAATTTACAGGAGTTTCAAACACCAAGTAAATTATCTTTAATAGCCCAATAACAAATTTCTGCTGTTTTTTTTTTTAGTTTTGTAATTAAAATCTGTTTGCTCAAATTTAGAGACTTCCCAAATAAAGTGGACCTATCCTTTGCATAGTGGCTGTTTGATGAGCTTTTTTAAGCTTCGTGGCTCAATAGGGTTTAGTCTTTACACGAATTAATTAAATTTCGGAAATACCATCCTAGTGTTAATTTTCAGTGATGCCGACGCTCCTATTAAATTAAAGTTATCGCGTCTATGTGTAAATTGGAAACCTTAAAGGTGTTGTTGTATAATACCGCATTTAAACTCGTTGAATTTGACTGGGTATATAAAGTTCATCATGTCCTTCATGTTTCTATTGCAATTTAGAAATTAAACACAAAGTATAAGCGTTGAATTGTTCACATCAATCATTGCTACGAAAGGAAACATCGCATTAAATAAATTACGGTTCTTTCACTCAGTGATGGGTTTAAAAAATATTAAATACTTCACTGCAGTGGATAAAGGATCATTCCCCTCGGATTTAAAACAGCGATTTCAACCGAAGTTGTTTTAAGCCTGTTCTGATCCAATTTACACAGCTTGTTTGAGGGTAAGTCCCATTTCCTCGAGCTCTTCTCACCATAGTCGAATTTAAGATTAAATGTACAAACATGGGAGCAATTCAGATTGGAATTACTCGAGCTTAATTTTAATTATTAGTGAGTTGCGCTTCACGATATTTTTATAGCAGAGTTTCACCAGCAGTTGCTTTAAATTGTTTAAAATTGATTGTTTGCCACTCAAGATAAAAGTTTACAGTCAGTTCAAATAGTCGTAAGCGTTATAGGATTCGTAATAATTATACTTTCTCAAGCAATCGTTTCATGCGTTTAAAAGTTATTGTCAAGTTATTTCGTGTGTTCATCTTTTCTTAATATTACGCATTTACGTAAATGTGGAAAAATACCTTTTTCTGGGCGTCTTATATTTGGAAAAGTAATAATAATAATTTTAATGCCGTAGGTGCAACTTTTAACGGAAACTTTTGTTCTTTCTTGATGAGTTTTAGTAATGGTATTACAGTTACCTACAATCACATAAATAATTTGAGTTGAACTGAAAATTATGCATGAACGCATTTATTAATTTCCCGATAGAAGTATTGTAACAGGATCATATTGACGAATGTGTAACTTCACGTTTTTTCTGTTTTGCAACTTGTAGACTTGCAGACTATGAAAGTGCTGCTCTCCCGTCTCAGTCTGTTGTCGAGTGTGTTACCGGCCTGTCGTCTATGGTCTATTATCTGTTGCCTTTGTTTGGCTGTCATCGACTCTACTAGACACATATAGAGTGATTCACTAATAAAAATAAAGAGCCTGAATAATTTTAAACACAACCCAAAATACATTTTCACCGCTATGGTGCATATTATCATAATTACAATTAGAGCACTAAACATAAGTACTAATCTTAACGCTTGACAAAAACTTGAAATTGAAAGAAAAAAATCATGTTTCATTGCTAACCCTCGACTGAAAAAGAGGGATGTTATAATTTGACCCTTTTTTCTCTGTGTATGTGTCTGTCTCTGGCACCGTAGCGGATGAACCAATTTCAATACGGCTTTTCTTGTTTGAAAGCTGTTTCGATAAGGATGGTTCTTGGCTATGTTTGATGGTAATCAGTTTAATCACTTGAACCACTTTTAACTTTGAAGTCTTTTTCTGTCTGTAGATTTGTCTGTGGCACCGTATCCTCCAAACGGATGAACCGATTTCTATGGAGTATATTTTAATTGACAGTTGGTTCACTCAGGATGGTGTTTAGCTATGTTTGACGATAATCACTTCAATTATTTCAAGAC